AAACCGATAATTTGAGAACAGCATGCAGATAAAAAACCTAATTTATGAACTCATCTTGTGATTTTTCTGTCAATATACATATTTTTTATTTTAGATTACAACCAAAGTTTTCACCCTTTAAACATTATTATATATATATATATATATATATATGTATCTTTATGATCCTGAGTAATGACCGCTGTTAGTAGAAGCTTAGAATTTTCTATTGGATACTCTGTTACAAAAGAAAAAAAATTCAGAGATTTGTATAGTTCACATTAATTATATTATGATGTCAGAACAGACACCATGTAGTAACCTAAAGTATTTTAAGTCTTAAAATCCAACAAAAGAATGATTAGTTTACGTTATTATAATTGTTTGTCAAGATCAGTTTATGTTGCTTAGTTGTGGTCGTACATTTACCATCAAGCATAATCCTTTTTTTAGCAATTTACACTTGATGTTTTCAGATAAAGTATCAAAAATTCTCATACTGGTGACTTTATAAGTAAAGTTAACACAAAAATATGATACTCTTTAACCCAAACACTTTCGAAAAGGTGGTCCTTTCGAGGTTGCTCGGGTTATATGGTTTCATGTATCTGTTTTAAATTGATTTCTTGAGTCTATGTGTTTTCCTGACATCATGATTATAAATACTTGTTCTGTACATTGACTTTCCTTGTGTTTCGGTGTCACTATCTCATGTTCTAGCAAGAATTTTGATTTAACAAAAGATGTCCAGCATTCTTAATGTGTTTCGTATGATTTTCTATTTAAGAATCTTCAAGATGAACTGGAGGACATGATGGGGCAGGCTGAAGAAGTGCAAGAGGCTTTAGGCAGAAATTATGGCATGCCAGAGGTTGATGATGACGAGTTAGAAGCAGGTTTGTTTTACGTTGTATGTGGCTACATATATTAAAGTAATAGAATGATCTATTGAACTTTTCAGACTCAAAAATATCTTTCATGTGGTAGTATTTCGAACTACAAACAAATCCAGAAATCTGTCACTTGAGAAAACTTGTGACATAAATAATCAAAGCACATGTTTTCAAGTGATTGTGATATTTTGTCTTAAAACAACGCCCTCCAGTGGCACAGCGGTATGTCTGCAGACTTACAATGCTAGAAATCGGATTTTGATACCCATGGTGGGCAGAGTGCAGATAGCCCATCGTGTAGCTTTGTGGTTAGATTCAAACAAACACACAGCCCCTCCAGTGGCACAGCGGTATGTCTGCAGACTTACAATGCTAGAAATCGGATTTTGATACCCATGGTGGGCAGAGTGCAGATAGCCCATCGTGTAGCTTTGTGGTTAGATTCAAACA